TATCATTGCAGCTGAATTACAGCTAGGAACTGTATAGATGATAATATCATAGTACCATAAAAGCAATATACTGTGTACTTACATAAAAGTTCATCCACCATGGATGCATATGCATAAAATTTACAAAACCACTCCCAAACTGTGAATAAAACCACTTAAAATGGACAAGGTCTGGTCAGTATTTTCCAAGTGCGAAAATGGGAAAAGCTGGACAACAAGATTTTGGACAGCTAAGGCTACTTATGTATCAGCTGCCAAGTTCTAGTTTTCATTCTGATTGAATTACAATTGCTTATTGGGAAATTCTAATTCTTCCACTGTCCCTATAATAATGAAAATAAGTTTGTAAAACCTTTAACTATTTGTAATCCTGCAATACTGCGACCTATAGTATGGACTGATTCCTATCTAAATCCTATTAATGAAGCATTTCTGATAATTTAATGAAAATAAACAGATAAACAACAAACAAAAAATCCAATTCTTCACTAAACACACTGAATCAATATTTACTGGCCTTTTGTGAGCATGCAAAGCTTAAGATTTAATAACCAGTAGTACTTGTGCCTATTGAACAATACCTGCAGGTATTTTGGCATTCCTCTTTAGACTGTCCTACTTAAAATGCTTGATTCAAATCATGCTATAGATATCAGTTAGCTTAAGGTTAGAGTTTTGCTTTGGCTTTTGTAAATGCAGTTTCTTCTGCTACATCCATTCAATTTGATGAATTTGTGTGTTTAGGATTATTGTCATGACAAAGGAATCATATTTGTTTCAAGTTTACCTTTTAGACAATTACCCTGACATTCTCCTGTAGAATTTACTGATCCAATCCATTAATTAATTATTCAGTTAGGAAAATGACAATGGACAAAGTTGTCATAGCTGGGTACAAAAACAGCAGTGAAATACCTCTATTTCCTTGCTTCTTATACCTTTTCCAAACAATTTCTATGTACTGTATATATCTGAAAAAACTCTATTGGTAAACGCATACACAGCAACAAAATTATTATGGTTCCCAGCATTTCTGCCAGAGGTTTAATTTGGATTTGGTATTTCTGTCCACTTATCAAGTCCCTCCCAAACATCTTGGATTATTAAAGATTCTTTGTAAAACACTAATAAAGATGGCCTTTATTCCAGTATTAAATTTAATTATGATGCTTATCACATCAATAACATTCCAACAGAAGATAATATTTGTAGCTCAGGACTAAACTGGAGTTTTTGGTGCTCTCTGAGCTAGCTGTTTGCTTACAAATATTTCATTACCCAATGAAATTGATAAGGTTACCTAGTTTGGTAATGAAATATCTGCAACCAAGCAACCAAGCTAACAGCATTACGAACTACACCAATAACATTTTTTGCTTGATAAACTCAGAAGAATTAGCCCCTTGATTCAAGATGGATTGTGTACATATAGCATTAGCAAAAATTAAGTAATTTCCTTTTGCCAGGAATGTTCATTAAAAATGAAAAATATTCAAAAGTTCTAAACATGTAAAAAAAATGGGAAAAGATGGTTCCCTAAATTAAATCCACAAAGTCATTATTTCAAACTTTATATTTCAGCATGCCTTCTATAATAAGTAAAATTAAACAATATCAGAATTGGGAGGAAAAATAGGACCATTTTAAAAAATACATGATGGACCTATTTAGAAAACAATTAGAAATAAATACAGGGAACATGTCTCATTCATGGTTTCAAATACATCAAGTTGCATTTAGCTGCAATCCAAGCTGTTAGAACACACACATATAGACTAAAGCTATGACTAAATCTGAAATTTGGCTAAATCCACCATCTAAGACAAGGGTGTAAAACTCAAGGCCCGGGGACCAGATCTGGCCCGTGGGGTACTTAGATCTGACCCACGGGGCCGTCCTGGAAACCGTGAAGGATTGGCCTGCGGTGCTTCTGCCAGCAAAAATTGGAGCTCCTTTTTTGCTGGCAGAGGGTTGCAGGAGGATGTGGGAGCCAAAAATGGAGCACAAATGCCTGTTTTTGCTGGCAGAGTGCTTGGGCTACCACAGGCGCCCCCCAACACAAGTGACATCGAGCTGACACGGCTACCCTGGCCTCTGGAGGTCAAATACAACCCTGATGTAGCCCTCAATGGAATCGAGTTTGACACCCCTGGTCTAAGAAGACAAAGGAAAAACATTAATAAAATTACAACACTTTGAAGATAAAGTTTTAGAATGGGTTGACAACAATATAGGAATTAAATATAAAACATATCTAGTATGATTTATGCTTATCCAACTGCCATAAAAAGGAAGGAAATTGGTTTTAGCAAAAATAAAGGAAAATTCATGGAAAGCATTTTATAAACGTTATTTAATATCAAAGAAATTTAACATGGTAAATTCTAGTGTAAATTTCTAGTGTAATGGAGGAAATGTAAAGTAATAGATACATATTGTAGAGGCCCAACTGTTTGGGACTAAAATCTTTATTAAAGTAAGACAAATTGCAACTGAGAATATTAAATCCAAACCTAACTTTATTAAACTTTTTGATAATCCAAATGATACATTAGAGTAGTTTTTAGATGGTGTTATTAATTGCAGCCATAGAGGTGGTATGTGTGGAACACAGGGAAGAATTTCAGTACCTCCATATGGTGGCAAATAACGTTGGAAAACCACTCTAATGAAAAGCTACCCAATAAAAGATATCAATATTATAAAAATATGGTTGAGAGTTTAAACATATTTTCACCAGTCCAAATGAATAACTAGTAGGCACTTCCAGTTTCCTAGATCAGTTAATTAAGCAAGGCTAGATACATTTTGCATTCTTCACTGTATTGTAAATAAAATATTTAAAATGCAATCTGAATAAATTTTGTTGAAAAAAATTAAATACATATACTGTATATGGCTTCATTTATTCTAATTTAGATCAAAAGTTCAATTTAAGACCGTTATGCTAAATTGACATTAATAATTTTATTTGATTATTGTATATTAAATTGTACATTTTGATACCTTATTCATATATATTTAAACTCATTTTTCAGTGTCCCATTGTAATTTTGTTAATAAAACATATAACTTATAGACCTTATTATGTACAGCAGAAAATACCTATTATGACAAAAGTGAAAGCACTACTTACATTCTGTTTTGTTACTATTATAAACTTTGCACGTTATGTCACCTTTTCCTGTATTAATACACCTAGCAAAGAACAAAATCTTTGTATTTTTAATGAACTTGGGAGAAAACAAAAATTCTTGCCAAGGTTTAGTCCTTACTTTTTATTTTAATTAAACAAGCATGCATAATTGCATCACAAGAGCATTCTTAAATCTGTCCTATTATTGTTTTGTCGTCTTTAGCTTTTTAGAGTTTATATTCTTTTGGCATGATTTCTTTCACTTTGACCTGATTCTTTTTATAAAATAACATCTTCCTGCCTTATCCATAATCCTTATTTCTGTTGTTCAACTATATTAGCGCTATTTTTCAATGTTGTGTTTTTTTAAAAAAGAAAAAGCCTTGAAATTTAATATAAGAATTTAAGCCTCCTAAAAGCAATGTAAACGTTAAAACATTTTATTCCTGGAGTATTACACAAATTGTGTTCAATAAACAATAGGTATTTTCTCTTAAGAAAATACTAATGCGTGAAAATGTACTTGCAAGGACTGGGAGACTGTCCTGCTTTGATAGGAGATTCCGCATATTTTTAATATATCCAAAACATAACACAGTTTTTGGATTACAGATTCAAACTAAATAATATACCATAAATTATAATGGTAAAATCTTTGTATATTGTATATTGAATTGTATATTGTATGTACTCCTTTTGCATGCAGAAACATTTTTTCTATTGCAGCATATCCACGGTATTCATTATTCAGAGGGCTAGATGTAAGATAAAAAAAAGAGAACCTTTTTCCCCACTATGGCCATAACAACAACTATGCAGTTCTCCACATTTGTATCAAATATTAAATGTACAGAATTCAATATGCAAATATTTACCTTAATCTAAAAACCACTTGCAAGATCTATAAAACGACATAAAATAGGTGGTTTTGGAGCCTAATGAGGGTAAGAAATACACTCCTTTACTTTACAAATTTCCAGCACCAACTTCAATACTGAAACAAATTACTGATACAACATATTCTAGTCATCTAAAAAGAAGAATGTCTTCATGGCTGTAATGCTTTCAACCATGTTGGAAAATATCACTTGGTCCAGAAAAATTAACAAGAAAAGTGTGCCTTCATGGAATTATCAATGCAATTTTATACATCTCTATTCAGAGTCCTATGGGCCTTACTTAAATACAGAAGCGTAGTTGAACTTGTAATCGATAAATATGCATGCAAGCACACATACACATGAAGACATGCAACTGAAGAAATAAGCTACAGTTTACAAAAGCTTATGCCTTTTAATAATATTTGTTAGTCTGAAAATTTGCTTTCTTATTCCTTCTGATTTTTGATATAAATATACAATAAAAGGGTATGTAGCACCAGTTCCACAAAACAAGGCCCTGGTATAGCATGAAATCATGTCAGAACATAATCACTTCCTTCTTTCTTACATGACCTTGCAATGTTAAACTTCTATCAGTAAATTTAGCTATATTTCAAATTTCAATAACAAGGGAATGGAGGGAAAATTTAACAGTTGGCAGCATCATGTTCCTCTCCTATGGAGGTTTGCCAAAGTTCAAGCTACAATATGTTGCCTAGAACACTTGAGAAAATCAACACAAGGCAAACTCCTCCAATGTAAATTTTATTTAAAAAACATTTCTTTTCAACATGTATTATGCAGTAAGACTTTAGATGTCTTAGAACATGAAAGTTTTTAGTTTATTGTGGAAGAGTACAGGGGGAAAATGCTGCCATATTTTAGATGACAATTGTAACTTGAGTCACTGCAGTGTAAGGTTTGTATTTTGTATCTGTATCTGTAAGATCTGAAGCAAAAGAAAAACAAGAAAGCCTAGATACCTTCTGCACCTGGTCAGCTGGGTCCATAGAATATTAGCAGGCAGAAATGGAAATGGATCAGGGAGACACCCACGCCGGAGACAGCAATGTCACCTGTAATATCAAACCTTTAACAAAAGAGAAAGGTGTTAAGAGATTTTAAAAATAGAAAAAAGTGGGAAAACTGCAAACTAACTAATTGCTACATACTACGCAACCAGTAAAAAAAAAAAAGGCAAAAAACCGCATATAATTTGTAGAAAATGTATTCAGGGAAAAATAGGACAAAGATTTTGAAAATCAAGCTCTAAAAAAGCTGGGGGCAGGGGAACAGTTACTTAATGAATAAGAAAGAAAAACAGCTATTGTTTTTTTTTTTTTAAAGTATTGTCAGAGCTTTATTAATTGCTACTGGGCCACTGTATATTAGAGTAAGATAAAGTGTACACATGTGGGTGTTAAAATGGCACTGAGGCAATATTCTGGAAGTTCTCTATGAAAATAGCAAACATATAGCTTAGCAGCATTGCTTTGGACTGTTCTGAACTGAAGAAAACTAGATGATGCTCAAGTAATATAGCCTTCCTGGGGAAACATTTAGCTCCAAAATAGAAAGAATCAGGCTGAATAGAGAGAAGGCAAAGGCAGTGAGTCAACATCTAAAGAAGTGAAACATTTCAAAATACATGCACAAGAATGAAGAATTGCTTTTTAAAGATTTTAAGAATTTGAGTCAATTATTAATATAATTAAATATGCCACCAAATATATTAATTTACAGCAGGAGAAAACAAGTGGGAAATTCCTTTCTTTACAAAAGGTATTCTTTTGATCTCATACATATTTCCTATCAACACAGTGAAATACGTGAAATACAGCAACCCTTCCACACCAATATCAACAGGCAAGGCAACACCAATACCTTAGAAAGGTAGCAGTTAATATTCTATACCAATCAGACATCTTATAAAAAGTCAGATGTATTATATTTAGCATATATATGTGTGTCCTTTTAGGATGCCATAGTCAGAAATCAGAATATTTTAAAATATTCATATTAGAACACAAACCAAGCCAACATGAGACAAACGTTATTTAGACAAAAGCATTCCAACTTCATAATCAATGTGCCAATCTGACAATGAAATGGATACATGCTCTCAAATTAACTCAGAGAGCCAAAGTTAGAACTTGTCAAGATTCCACTTAACATAAAGATTATTAGCTCTAACAATGGCTACTATACTATGTTAACTTCATATAAGTATGCAACTAAAATAATAATGCACATATCTATGATAGATTCAGTAGGTATATGCATGCCTGAAATCTCTAGAATCAGGACTAGCAGAAAATATATTTTATTTGTAGATTCTTAAGTTAAAATATCTGTAGTATTTGAATTTCGAGTTTCTGGAGTCACAGGCTATAGTCTTAAGTCATGCAATATTAAATTCTACAGAACATCCTTCTCAATGGCTGCAGTTATTATTTGGTAGCATTTGCACCAATTTCACCATCACCATCACCAAATCCTACACACTAGCTTTAGACATAATATAGATTATTTACCAGTAGTCCTCCATTTATGACCATAATGGTGCCTGTTCATAACAGTTGTAAAGCAGGAAACCACATGATTGGGCTCATTTTTATTACCTTTTTGTAGCAGTTGTTAAACAAATGTCATAAAACAAACCTATTGCTCACTATGCAGTTTTTGACAGAAACTGGAAGTAATTGCTGGTTTTCAGTTAAACATAATAAATTGTGTCATTATCAAGGGATCTTCAAACTATAAATAAAGACTGATTATTGAGCACCCAGAATGTGGTCATGTGGCTGCGAGAGGCGGCCATCAGAACTGGATTATAAATACATGGGGAGGGGAATGTCCAGTGTAACTTCAAGATGCCACTAAGCAATCCATCATAAATTGAGGATTACCTGTAGTTTTCTTCACCAGGAATTCCTGGTGAATATGGTCTATTGCAAAAACTTCTTGCACTAAAGGTAAAGGTAAAGGTAAAGGTTCCCCTCGCACATATGTGCTAGTTGTTCCTGACTCTAGGGGGCGGTGCTCATCTCAATTTCAAAACAGAGGAGCAAGCGCTGTTCGAAGACCTCTCCGTGGTCATGTGGCTGGCATGACTAAACGCCAAAGGTGCATGGAATGCTGTTACCTTCCCACCAAAGGTAGTCCCTATTTTATTACTTGCATTTTTTACGTGCTTTCGAACTGCTAGGTTGGCAGAAGCTGGGACAAGTAACTGAAGCTCACTCCGTTACGCGGCACTATGGATTCAAACCGCTGAACTGCTGACCTTTTGATCGACAAGCTCAACATCTTAGCCACTGAGCCACTGCGTCCCTAGTTCTTGCACTAAGCAATATGCTAATAATCACTGAATCCTGGCAGGTACCACTCAACCTTCTGAGTTACAATACCAGCATTCCAAGGGACAAGGTAAACAAGTATGCCTAGGATAACAAAGAGTAACAGAGTGTAAGGTCCTGCCTCATCAGCCTTCTCAAGAAAGCAGAACTCTTGAAACAATTATCATTTCAAAAGGAACTTTTATTGAAAGACAGTGATAGCAAAGGAGATGCAGTATCTGAAGTTTCCCCCTTAAAGAGTTAGGTTAAACCACTACAAGCAAAGCCCCTTCTAATGTCCAGTTCAATATTGAGTCAATCTCAGGGTGCGAAGATGTTTTGAGAACCTTGGGTAGAGAAGATGATAACTGTCAGTTCCCAAGCACTTCAGTTTCGCTTTCTCCGGTGGTGAGATAAAGCAGATGGTTCAAAGCACATTCTTTTCTCTCTCCCTAACATGACCCGAGACACATTCCTTCCCCCCTCCCTATTTTCCACAAGGTACAGCAAAGCAAAGCAAATGAAACCCCATGCAAAGAATCCCCCCAAACCTCCCTCCTCCCACCAGAATGGCAGTGTCCCAATAGGGAACTATGGGACCTGACACAGAGATTATTTAGCATAGGCAGTCATAGGATTTCAGTTTTCATTCCCTATTCAACTGTCAAAAGGAACCACCTATAAAATTACTTTTTTGCTTACTTGGGGATAAAAAAAAGTTGATTAGTGCACTATTGGTTAGCAATGTAAATTAGTTATCCAATAGGAAGCTCCTCACTTAGAAAAGTAATTGTTAGCTTCTATATAAGATAAATGATTCTTGGATTTCAGAAAATTCTCAGGCTTCTGCTGGGCCCACAACTAAACTTATGAGGTATAAGAAATCACATCCAAGATTTTAGTTTTTAGTAATAGACTAATATGGGAAACAAAGTACCTATATGAAATTCATAAGCTTTTAGTCTCTGTCATAGCATAATAAAGTGAATGTGATTAAAATACAAAGAATTAACAGTTAAAAGCTTGGAGAAAAATATGTGCACTTGCCATTTTCCTACATATTGGAGAATGGGAACCAAGCACAACTTCTTAGCAAGGGCAATCCATAGACTGAGAAGCCACAAAGGAGAATTTCCCATTTATCTATAAATCATGCTTCTACCAACTGAGGCATCTTCAGAAGAGCCTGTCTTGTTGGTCCAAATAACTAAGTAGTTTCACAACTCTGCTACATTAACAATAACTCTGGAATTGCACTCATCAAAATTACTAGTTCCAAATCCAGTGACAGCTGTTAGTCAAAAAGCACTCTGAAACTGCACACCTTCCCCCTCTGAACATATCTCAAACATGCATCATTTATTTCCAAAATGTAGACTTATCTTTAACAACAACACTTTTGTCATGTCCAGATTTAATCTCAGCTTCTTCTCCCTCATCTAGCCATTATGAAGCTTAGGCAATCAAGTAATTGCTTCTATAGAGCTAGAAAGGAGGCTATACTAGAATTAGGCTTACAATCTTTTTGAACTGTTGCCTTTTGGCAGAAGATACAGAACAATTAAAACTCGGACCACACGTTTTCTGAATAGTTTTTATCCCAGAGCTATAATTGCACTCAACAATGAACTAAAGGGCCATCATCAATGAGCTGTTGGACAGCATTACTTTGGTCTGTTTTGTGGATGTTTGGGTGGTTTAGGGGTGGGGAATTGTGGTGGGTGGGAGTGTGTTTGGGAATTGTTATATGTGTTGGACCTGGTCTTTGGGTGTTAAGTAAATTTTGTTGTATGGGTATACTGTGTATACACGTACAATGACAATAAAGTTATTATTATTATTCTCATGTATATATCAAACAGCACAAAGTTAGGATCTTATGAAATACTGTGTAGGACAATTATGTAGGTATTAATTAATTGAAGACCCAGTTTGATCTAGCGGTTAAGGCACCAGGCTAGAAAGCATGAGACTATTAGTCCAAGTCCCACCTTAGCCAAGAAAGCTGGCTGGGTCACTTTAGCCCAACTCACCTCACAGGGTTGTTGCTGTGCAGAAAAATGAGGAAGAAGGTATGTTGGTATGTTTATCACGTTGTGATATTTGTAAAAATAATAAAAAACATACAAGGATACAAACAAATAAATTTTAAATAGAAATCACTGCTGAGGACAGAATTTTTGCATTGGACTAGAACCACTGCAAAAGAAGGCTCTCAATGCCCAATCAAACAGTCTAGAAGGATATCCTAGTTGACTGTATCAAAACCCACCAAAACGTCCTGTTAGTTCTAACAGGGTTTCACTCCCTTCTCTATTTCTAGCACAGATCATCCATCGAGGTGATCCAAGTAGTCTCAGTACCATAGGTCAGATGAAACAATGTTTGAGGTTGATCCAGAAAGCTGGAATTGAAGGACATCACTTTCTCAAGCAACTTCCCCAAGAATGGAATAAATGAGATTAGCCTGTAATTAGAAAATCTGGGTCAAGGAGAATTTTTAAAATAAATATGCTATAACTATTTCCTTTCAGCCGGCAGGAGAACATCATGCACTTAAAGAGGCACCTCACTTAACCATGGTCCTAATAGCCAACCCCTCACAAGCTGACTGAATCAGAAAGGAGAGTCAAAGGTTGATCAAGCTCTCATCATTCTGCCTTCACAATACGGACAAGCAGAAAGAATCAATATGAATAGGTTATCCCCAATCTGCTATCCTCCACAATTTCATCTTTTACATATACAATAT